CTGCATGCAGCACGATGCTTCTCTTGTGCTCTTTATGTTAACGTGATGCTGAAACACACATGCTGTTACACAGATTGAGACAATCATGCTTGTACACAGAGCAAAGGTGGTTTCAAGACAGAAGGTGATTTTCTGTGTGTTGTACCATTCCATGAACGTGTCTCCTAGAGAGGTTTGAGGTAAAAAGTAAGAATCTGCCGTTCCCTAACGTGTCATTGTCCCATCATGGAAGGGCAATTCCATCGTTGCACTTGAGTATTCTGTGCAACAGGAGCGTTATACACGGGTCTACAGCTTCACCTGGCCAGTAGCCTTGGAGACAGCAACTCATGTCCATGCTGACGGGAAACTGGCTGTGTCCAGCTGAAACAGTGCTGATGACAGCATTGCCCAGTAGCGTGCGGTCAAGGACCCCTCTGCAGGGCTAGCCTTGCTTGACTTGGGTCCTGTGTCTATGTGTCTTCACGTATCTTTCCTCTTAGGTTATGCGTGCTCTGAGCCTCATTTCAGTTGGGCTTGGAGGTGCATGCTTCCTCGATATAGTAATATGTCACTCCCCGAAGAGTCAGTACCATGTAAATGAACAACCCGCTAGAGGAACTGTCGACTTGGCCACTGTGATCTGAAAAGGGGAAGCCTCAGTTGAGAAAATGCCTCCATAAGATCCAGCTGTAGGACATTTTCTTAATTAGTGATTGACGAGGGAGGGTACAAGCCATTGTGGGTGGTGCCATCCCTGGGCTGGTGGTCCTGGTTCTATAAGAAAGCAGGTTGAGCAAGCCATGGTGAGCAAGCCACTAAGCAGCACTCCTCCATGGCCTCTGCATCAGCTCCTGCCTCCAGGGACCTGCCTCCTTTGAGTTCCTGTCCTGACTTCCTTCAGTGATGAACAGTGATGTGGAAGTGTAAGCTGAATAATCATCTTCCCAACTTGCTTTTGGTCAATGTGTTCTGTTAGACCAATGATAATCCTAATAAGACAGATACGGACTCATTTCTCCTGGAGAGGCAATCATAAGCAAATAGAGTATTGAACATGGAAGGCACCTTTAAATTATCTAGTTAAAATCCCCTTTTAGCTCAGGAAAGCAAAGTAGTTGCCCAGAGTTTCTCGAGTTGAACCATTCTGCCTGTTCTTTCCTACAGGGTTTCTAGTTTAGCCAAGTCTATTGTCAAGCACACTAACTAGACCAGACATGACGTCCTAGCATTGGTCCCCTGTGTCTGTGGACATATCTCCCTACTGGCATTTGCATTTACATGGGTTTTATGCAAGTACATGCTTTGCTGACTTTATCATAGGAAAACAATGAATTTTTATGTACTTGTTCCTTCAAAGGAAGAAGCAATGCGTCTGCATCTCTAGGCTTAGGCCCATAATTGACACTTGGACATTTACAATTTTTGATATTGTTGAAACAAACTAATGGGGGAAGTATTTAAATTCGTTATTCACTGTTTTATCATTTTGGAATCATAGTGCTATTAAGGACCTCTGAGATCTAATCTAGCACATAGCTTTTCAGCAGAAAAACATTACCCTTGGCAGAGATGATTAAGCCTGAAGTAACTTGTTCTGTATTTTTCAGCCTGGCTCTCGTCATAGCCCAGGGTGTACTTGAACTCACTATGTAGCCGAAGGTGACCTAGGCCTGCTACTCTCTCTACCTCAGCTTCCCATTTTAGGACTAAATGCTTGCACTGCCATACTCGGCTTTAGACGCTCCAAAGTATCAACATTTCAATGTTTCTGAGGCAAGGTCTCTGTGCTATCCAGGCTGGTTTGGCGTGGTTTGTGCACACAGGATCTCTGTGTGATCCAGGCTGGTATGGTTTACTGTTGAACTTGGGCTCAAGCAGTTCTGCCTCAGTTCCCCCCAACCCCCAATGCCTGGAGCTTCAGACACATGACACTGTGCCCAGCTCAGGAATAGTTTAACGTATTGTGCATTTCTGTTTGAAACGGGGTCTCATTATGCAGCCCTGGCTAACCTGCTGTTCAATACATAGACCAGGCTGGCCTTGAACTCTGACTCCTCTTGCCTCAGTCTCCCTTGCTCAGTTTCTACAGATGTGCACAGCCACTCCTGCCCTCTACTTTTTTTTTGATCATTTCCTCTCATTTTATTTTACTATATTTATTATTTTTGATTTTTGATACAGGGTTTCTCTGTGTAGTCCTGGCTGTCCTGAAATTAGTTCTATAGACCAGGGTGGCCCCAAACTGAGACCTATAATGAATGCATCTTTTACCTTTTAACTTGGTTCAGAATCCAACTAGTTTTGTAAGTGCCTATAAGCAGCATGACCTAAGCCATTTTTCAAACTTTAAGAATAGGGAGTCTGGAGAAACTGATCTTCAGTTTTGTAGGTTGTGCACCTCGGGGAATTAGGATGCTTCTGAGTGAGCTGCGTCATTCACCACGAGCCCTGACTGAAATCCCCTGGTGTTTCAGTCATTGCTGCTGAGTTCTGTGGCAAGCACACGGGGGCACTTGCTGTTATACCACAGAGTACTTTTAACTTTCCTTAGCTTCGGGTTTGCTTTATACAGAGGCCAATAACCACCACACCAAACATGCTCTTGATGGCAGTGACACCTTGTCTCCCCAGAGTATAGTGATGGCTGTTCTCAGGCAAGGAGACACACCCCCTCCAGACTGCTACCGAGGAACTGAAAGGATCTATTCTGCTCCCATAGTTACCCTGTTGCCATCCTCCGATTTCTCAGAACATGAACATAAAACCGTTGTTCTGAAAGTGAGATGCAACCCCCTGCCCCAATCTGGTCCCCGCTCCCCCAATCTGGTCCTTCTGCTTTTTTTTTTTAACCATAAGTCTGACCTCTTTTGTCCATTACACTGTTCTATTCTGTTCTGTTCTGTTCTGTTCTGTCCTATTCTACCTAGAGTTATTCCAAGACAATTCTACTCTAGATGTGATGTTTCTTTGTGCATTTGCTCCTTTATTAGTAAGACCAGAGAAAATAAGAACCTAGGCATTAAAAACCACCCTGGTGCCCTTGAAGCTCCGCTGATGTCACAGGGATACCACCACTACCTAATGGTACAGAGAGGGTGTCACACACCCCAGTTTTCTCACATGTGAGGCAGTATGGCGAAGGACAGAGTGCATCTTTGGAACCCGCAGGGCTTGTTTGTGTGACTCAGCTTTCCCTTCATAGCTCCGACTCCGTGGGCCAGCCCTTAACTGCCCATAAACGGCTGCCCAGGGACTGAAGCACTGGTCAGAGCACTGAGGTGCTCACCACAGACAGGGAAGGTCCCCAGCAGGCCAGCAGGGAGCCGTTCTTTTCTTCTGTTGTTTCTGCCAGTTACATCTTTCTAGTCGTACTGAGCACTAGTTGCACATGGACTCAGAGCCTCACGGTTGTTTGAGCACTTTTATTTCATTAGTAGGAATTTTTCTTTCTCTATTGAGCTAATTGGCACCCTTTACTTTCGATTTATCCTATCTTTATGTTCATCTGGCTGCTATATCTCAAGGTGGAAATAGAAAAAAAGAAAGGGAAACAGGCACAGGACAAACAGACTCTCCTGTTGCAAAACCACCAGGGCTAGAAGACACTTTTCCCAGATGGCCCTTCTTGTTAAGGGCTTCATCTCCCTGACCCCGCAAGTGTGATGTCCGTCCCTGCCACATTTAGTCCATCTCCTTCCCTTAATCAGATAAATCTTGTCTCTGGTATTACAGACTTGTCCAGGGATACCACATCAAGGGAAGTATTTTTGTTAGGCCCATGGTATCTGTTTGACCTTTATTCAGAAGACAAATGTAATAGATCACGAATAAAATGTGGTTATTAAAGGAACCTTATATGCAATTTCTGGATTGTTTATGCTTACTGAGTTAAACTTGGCATGCTGGAGTCGAGTTCTAAACCGGTTTAGATTGCAGACTGACTGTGTCTTAAGTCTGTTTCCATTCATTAAATACCTTAGAATGAGCAACATTCTGGACTCTTGAAATGTGATACCTTGTGACATAAATATTTTTAGCTTAAAACTTACAAAGATACCCTACAACTTATTATTACATTATCGCTGTAGTCTATACAGTAGCACTCTATAGGGGCACTTAGAGTCATAGCTGTGGTCTATACAGCAGCGCTCTACAGGGGCACTTACAGTCATAGCTGTAGTCTATACAGTAGCACTCTATAGGGGCACTTACAGTCATAGCTGTGGTCTATACAGCAGCGCTCTACAGGGGCACTTAGAGCCGTCTACCACTTGCCTAAGCATCTGTAAATTACATAAGTGAGTGGTCAATTCACGATGGTTCTCTTAAATAAACGAATAGCCTGGACAAGGGACCTGATCCTAGATTTAAAGGACAAAATTAGAAATGATATAGTCAATGTACCATTAATTCTTCTGGAAATAAAGGACCTAAAAATCTTTAACGGTTTGTCCAAAGTCAGAGAGCTGTTTGCTGACAAGCTAACATTCCAACTCAGGACTTCTGGTAATTGCGCATTAACTGCCCTTCTTTAAAGTTGGAAACCTTCAGCGCTGCTGAGAGGAGCTTAGAAAGTCGGGCTCTTTCACTTTCCGGTAGCTCTGTGAAGAGTGGTGCTGATAGGGTCTTCAGTGAAGAACAGCTTGCAGTTAATTAGCCCTTTTGGGAAAGAGAAATCGCTAGCTTTCATGCCTCCTGGGGCTGAAAGACAATAGGATTGTTACTTTCTTTTCCCTCCTTCGTTCTCACCCAGTAACCCACCACCTCCTGTGAGGGTAACTGCTCCGAGAAGTCAGGTGTGCTATTTTCTCTACTTCTCTAGCATCACAGAGGTAAGAGCACCCAAATAGCACACCCTGACCTTCAGTGGACCCACTGCCATCTGGTCGAGGGGTTTCCAAGACTCAGAAAGGGAAGGGAGATAATGATTGGGAAGATGAATATATGACATCAGGTCCCTCTAGAGGCAATACGCTTCTGTATTTTAAATTTTAAAAATTTTCGTACTTTTATTACAGACCTTCTCAGAGGCGATTAGATTTAATGTGGACTATGGAGTTTTTGAAGTGATCAACAATGCACCACAGCTTCTGGAAAAGCAACTGAAAAGAATTCTGCAAAATCAGCAACCACGAAATCCCATCTATGATGTCATAAGGAAAGGAAAAAGTGATGCCAAACCTTTCCAAAAGAGTGTCCCCAGGGAAGACGAGACCATTAGTGTCAGCTACACCATCATGGTGAGCCAGGATGCTTGAGTCTGTCTTCTAAGATCAAGGAAGCATTTGGTCAGCCAGAGAGACGGCTCAGCAGTTAGGGGCACTTGCTGCTCTTCCAAAGTACCTGGCCCTGATTCCCCACACCCAGTCTTGAGCTCCAGTTCCAGGGAACCCAGTGCCCTCTTGTGGCCCCTATGGCCCCAGGTGTGCACATGGCACACATACATACATCATACAGGCAAAACAGTCATAAGCAGAAAATAAAAATAAATGAAGCACTTGGTGAATTGACGCAAAGTTTCTGAAGTCCAATCAGATTTATTTGTGTGTTGTGCTTACATGGAATGTCATCTCTTCACATAAAATGGACCATTTAGCAGTTTTTTTGATTTTTGTCAAGCAATATAAGAATGATCATGTGATTTGCCTTGACTATATAAAATGTCAAGTACATTTATATATTAAATATGCATATTTTTATTGTTTAATTTCTTTCTAGGAAATGTGTGTATAAAGGATGCTCATTTCCTCTGGTTTTGTTTGTTTGTTTGTTTGTTTACCAATTCTATTCACAGTTGGGAACTGAGATGGCTTTGAAACACCAAGGTACACCCTGTTGTAGGCGGAGGCTGCTTGTTCATTCCCAGCCACCCAGACCTGAAATAGTCACACAGAAACAGTATTAATTACAACACTGCTTGGTCAATAACTTAGGCGTATTTCTGGCTAACTCTTATATCTTAAATTGACCCTTTACTATTAATCTGTGTATTGCCACATTGTGGCCTACTGGAAAGGTTCTTTCCGATGTCTGTCTCCTGTGGCGGCTACATGGCATCTCTCTGACTCTGCCTACTCTCTTTCTATATATCTTTGTTCAGATTTTCCACCTGGCTATATTCTACCCTGCCATAGGCCCAAGGCAACTCTTTTATTAACCAAATGGTCATAAAAACATATTCACAGCATACAGAGGGGAATCCCACATCATCCTGTGACTCTGACCTCCCTGGCTTCAAATTCTGTTCTTAGCTGCCAGTTTCTGTCCTGTTCGCTTTAGGCCAGCAAACCTCTATGTGGCTAACCCACGAGCTGTGTTCCCGTGGAAAGGTGACATGATGACCTTGGGTCCACCACAGCCACGGTGTGCTGTGTGGATCAGTGACCAACAATTATTTTAAAATGCTATTTTAGAATTAGGGAGAAGTAGACTGAAAAATACATTTGCTCGTAACTTCAGACACTTCTACTCCAATTCTCTGGCTACTAAATTTAGATATATTTCTCTTTTAACTTCTATCATAGTAAATGCTAATAAGAATTACATTAAAGCATTGTTTTGAAGGTGGATCAGAAAAATTGAATTATATAAATTTTTAACTAAAACTTTTCTAACTGGGTATGCAAATATTTAGTAACAACAATAATTAGTAACACATCACTAATTATATTAAATCTATGTAGCTTAGATTTAATTAAAAGAGTCCTAATTAAAAGAGTCAGATAGGACTAGGAAAAGAAGACTCAATTATTTGCTGTCTAAAAGAAACCAACCTTAAGTATAAAATAAATATATTAGAAGTAAGAAAGTATATGCCATATAATTACTAATTAAAAGAAAGCTAGGGCGATTATATTAGTATCAAAGTAGACTTCAGAACAAGGACTCCTGCTAAGGATAAAGAAGGCTATTAAACAGAGATACAATGTAGTTCATAGAAAACACAGCCAGTTTTAATGTGTGTGCATGAACATTGGAATTCATGATAAATGCTAATCAGACATAAAGAGAAAATAGCCAACAAACCACAGAGAACACCTGAGATTAAAACATTGCTTTTAGTAACCATAGAAATGGTGGATCCTAAGAACATGGCATTTCTCTCTCTCACTTGCAATGAAGTCAACCCGTTGATGCCTGTAGACTCAACCCGTTGATGCCTGTAGACTCAACCTGTTGGTGCCTGTAGACTCTGCCTGTTGGTGCCTGTAGACTCCTCCTGTTGGTGCCTGTGGACTCAGCCTGTTGGTGCCTGTGGACTCAGC